CATGATTCTGGCCAGTGACTGAGCAGAACTATCCAGGTATGTGATATGGCTTCCAGCAGAGACAACAGACAAAAGAGACAACATAGGTGAAGAAGACTGAGAAACAGGACCTTAGGAAGAATGTTAAATAAGCCCATGGAACAAGAAGGCTGATGCAGCAAGTGTGGCTCCTTAAAAGAGTTATACACATTAGAAAGGAAAATTGGGAAACCATGATGGAATACTTGTAGAGAGTGTTCATGACACATTTAACTTTATAAACAGCTAGGCCATGGGTCCAGCTGAACCAGAAAGAAGGCTGAAGCTTAAAGAAAGATATGAGGTCTGAGTCACAGAAATGGCCAAATTTACACCACCTGGGCTGCTCTACCTCTGATAATGGAGACATGGAGATAGATTTTCTACCTCATTCACAGGCAGAGAAGAGAAAAACAGTGCATAACTCCCAGCAGGCACCACTGAGTCCTGAGAGCAGGGTCAGCTCAATTGTTACACTCTCTCTTGCCCCCAAGCCAGCTATACTTCAGATGCCTGAGCCAGGCCTACACTAGCCCACTGTTTTGAGATGGCCATACAGCTTTAATGAGAGCCTTGAAAGAAGCAATCCACATATTACACACTTTAAGGGCCACTTTTGGAGCCAAATATTTTCTACTTTCAAAAATATAGATAGTGCTGAAGCAGAAAGGTTTTTTTGAGAGTACAATCCACCCTCCATATCTGCAGGTTTTGCATCCACAAATTCAATAAATTGAGGATAAAAATGTATATATATTTTTAATCCCAGAAATTTCCAAAAAGCAAAATTTGAATTTGCCGTGTGCCAAGCACTATGTTGAATCCAGGCGAATGAAATGATGTATAGGCATACCCTGCTGTAGCCTATATGTAATACACCTTTTTTTATGAGGCTTGAGCATCCGTGGGTTTTCTTATCCTCAGTGGGTGCTGGGACTGATCCCCTAAGGATACTAAGGGATGACTGTACTCAACCTAGAGTTTCTCTAAAGTGTTGTCAGGGAAACATTTGCGTCAGCGTCATCTGCAGAGTTTAATTAAAATGGAGATTATTTTATCTCATTTCAAACCCATTGAATCACACTGTCTAGGGGTGAGGCCCCAGAATCTGCATATTAAACTCCCAGGGGATTAAATGTACCTTGAAATTTGAGAACCTTTTACAAATGTTGGAGTTCTGTGTAGTAAGTCACCCAATATTCCTATGATAAAATCTGAAGATCTCTTACCACAGAATCATACTGGTGCCCATAAAAACTCAGATTCCTGGGTCTCCTTCTAAGCCACCTGAATCAGAATTTTTTATGTGTGATAAAATTTGAGAAACACAGTCACTTCATTGTATAGATCCAGATACTGACCCAGAGAGAGAAGTGACCTGCCCGAGGTTGTCAGTCTAGATGGTAGCAGATCTAGAATCACACACGTCTCCACACAAGTCCAAATGGTATCTTGAGGGTTATATCTTAGTTTAGTTTCCGTGGCCATTGCATTCATTAGAAGGTCTGGCACTCGAGAGTAAGAATGCAAATGTTCTGGGTAGTTGCATAAACCTAAATCAAAGCTTCTTCTGCAATGAGTTGTGCAGAACAGCTTGAACATAAAGCAGTGCAAGGTCACAAAGCTCTCTTAAAAGTAGCAGGGTACTGCAGGCCCTTCTCCAAATGGGATCTCAGGGGACTCCAGGGTGAATTAGTTTTATATCCTGGGATACTGTTAAGCCTGGCTTAGAGTCAAACTGAACACAAACCCCAAAATGTCCTGCAATAGTTTAATAAACCTATTTTTGTACTATTGTTTTTATAGTTGAAACCCATATCGATTAAGTAAATGCTTAAACATATGCAGTTTTGTGTCAGACTCGGTCCAAGCTCACTAATCTGATTGTCCAAGCCTGTGCATTTGAGGTTCCAGCTCTTTCTCCGCTTTATCTCCCCAAGCCTGTAGTCTGGAACTCCTCCAGACTGGCATGCTCTGCCCCAGGATCTGCTGGGATAATCCAATAGAAGGCCCTTGACCTCCAAAAGGAGAGCAATTTCCTATGATAAGACAAATTAGATTTTCTTTGAGAGATTAAGCAATTGCCATTGACAACAGTGCCATTCTATGGTTTGCATTTGGGCTAAAGCTTATAATTTTAGTTAGTGCTTCACTAGTGCTACATGATTAGAAAAAGTAAATGTTCTGCCACCTTGAATACATAATTCTGCAAAGAAACAGGATACCTCTGTAGAGATTCTGGAACTTCTGAGGGCGGAAGGAAAGGGCTGAAGGCAGGGACAGAGAGGGAAAAATTACAATTACACCCTTGCAACTAAAAAAATAAAAAATAAAAAAAAAAAGTGTTTGGTAGAGGTCCACAATACCTTATCTTCAATTCTGAAATCAAACATTTCTGTAAAATGAAAGCTATTGTTTCTTTCATTAATTCGGTGCCAAGATTCATTTAGCAGCAAAACCTGACCTGAACTGACATGAACTTAGTCTTTATCTCTTTTAGTATAAATATTCCAAATTTTTTTCATGGAGAAATATTAATGACTTAATTATGGGATGTTTTCCCAGACACCACTGGGGGTGTTATGTAAGAAATAGTACATACTCTGTGTTACCTTTCTAAATTCCAAAACAAAAAATTAAATTCTAAAAGTCAGTCAGATAACAGACTGTGGACCCCGAATAATAATAGCTAACATTTATGGAGTACTTGGCATCTGCATGAAATTGTGTTAATTTATTTTCACCTCATTTAATCCTCAGGTCACTGTAGGACAGGTATTAAAATGATCATCATTTTAAAGTTGGGGAATTGCTTCTCAGAGAGGTTAAATCACTTGCCCAGAGTCACACAACGTTTGGTCAGGCCAGGATTTGGATTCAGGCCAGCCTGACTCTAGAACCTGCCCGCTGAACTTTTGCACTCTACTGCCTGGGAGAGATGAACAGTTGTGAAAGTACAATAGCCTACCACCTATGCTATATAATTTAAGGAACAACCTGCTACCTTCAAATATGTCCCCTCTCCATCTCTACTTCTCCACTATGCTACTAATATAGCTTTATTCCTTGAAGTTCATTTGCATGGCTTTTCTCACAGGGACCACCAGCATCAAAAATCTGCTGGGCATCTTGTTAAATACAGATTCCTGGCATCCAACCCAGACCTACTGAATCAGAATTTCTAGGGATCAAAATCAAATTTATTCTTGTACACATTACAGTTTGAAGAAAAAGTGAATGCCCTTAGAAAGGCCAATCATTAACCCTCATTAACTAATTCACATCTCAACATCAGTTGACACTTGGTTGGATTGGCAGGAATAAATTCATGGATGGGCACCTGGAAAGTAGAAGATGTCTGAAAGGTAAATGAGACTTGAGAAGGGTGATATATGAAAAGGAAGAAAGAAAGGATGATATGACAGTATCTCACTAATTTGACAATATGCAATAAGTGTAAAGCCTCACCATTGGCATTGTTCAGCTGTCAATCTTGGAAGCAAATGTCTCTTTTTTTTTTTTTTTTTGGCCACTCAGAACACTTATCTATTAACTTACTGATACAACGGTAGACAAGATAGTGAAGCTCATTAGATAAAATAGGAAATCGAAACTCAAATGAGTTCTTCAAAGTCATTTAACTGATTAATGCTAGTATTTGGGTATGTTTCGGCCCCCAATCTTAGACTACTTAATTCTTCCAATAACTTCTTTCATAGATCTAGAGAGGAAATACCATTAAATAAAACCTAGGGAATCAAGTCTTAAATTCAATGATGTACAGTTTTGCCAACCAATGGCCAATTTAAATACATTTGAATGCTATGCTACACAAGGAAAGGCAATGAGAGGAATTACACAGCAGAATAGTTAAACTGATATACCATATGTTTGGGGTTTGTTTTTAACTTTTACTGGTTGCTTTATTTTTGTTATCAGTGCAGGGAGGGCTGCAGAACATTTTGATTTCTATACTTTAAGATATTCTGTTCTTGTTTCCTAGATTCTCAACCTCACCTCTTCATCTTGCCTGTGATGTCTTAATCATCTCTATAGCAACCAAATGTGACCTCAGACAGGAACTAGAAAACCAGAAAAAAATGAATTAACTACCACTACAGCAATCAGATCCCCACAGCAGTGAAGGCTGGAATTAGGGCACTGAGGGTCAAGTCCAACCAGTGATTATTGCAATTCAAGCTAAATGTTCTCTAGAGCAGTTCTTTCAAACTTCAGTGCATATTCGGATCACCTGGGGAATCCTGTTAAAGGGGAATACTGATTCAATAAGTCTGAAGTGGGACCTGAGTCTGCATATCTAACATCCTCCCTGGTGATGCCAACTCTGCTGGTTCCCGTATCATATTTTGAGTAGCAAGGGCATGAACTATCACCATGCCCAAGTAGTGTATGCAAATGAGTATATCTGTGGTCCTGAAGGAATTGCTGTTTTGGACAGCAGTCCCGATGAGTATACTAGCACTAATATTAACTAGCTGTGTTACCTTGGGCAAACATTTTTACCTCTCTGGGTCTCTGTTTTCTCATCTGTGAAATTATGAATTTGGGGTGGATGATCTCTAAGACCACTATGGATTATAAAATTCTTTCATTCTCTGATAAAAAAATAGTTTAGAACCAAAGGCTTAGTTTGAGGGCAAATTCCCCCTATATTATAAGGAAGGGGAGCAGGGAGAGAAATCTACTGTAACTTTTATATTTATTTTCTTAATTCAAAATCCTCTATGTGTCCTAAGGTAATTTATTTCTTCTGAATGTGCAGAACATCAGCATTCTCCATGAAGAAGAGGCAACATTCAGTAGTGGACAACAACTCAGCTTCAGCATCCCCTTGTGACTTCATAGCTAACAGATTTGGCCACTTGCTCATGACACTGTCTCTCTGGTCAGAAAGTAAACTCACTGTCTGACCACTGGTCTCCAGGACTGGTACTCAATTCTACTTAGTTCCAGAAGATATAATGGAGGAGCATACAGAATCATCACCTACATTGCAGGTAGAACATTCCTCCCTTTGGGCAGAGAATCTGGTTCTTCAGCAACAACTACAGCATCTGACCAAGGAGAACACCACTCTGAGGGAACAAGTCATGCCTGCTCTGGTCACCCCAATGATGCCTTTACTCTGTTCACTTACGAATCTCTCCCACTTTCATGGTGACCCTGCCAGTCTCTCAGGGTTTCTTGCTCAGGTAGCTAACTACTTGACAGCTCTCAAGATCACCAATCCTGTACATGATGCCCAAGTAAAGCTCTTTTCTGACTACCTGTGTCAGCAGATGGAAAGTTGTGGGATGGTATCTAGGTCTGACGAGAGTGCTCTGTTGAAGCAATATGAGAACTTTGTTCTTGAGCTCCAGCGGTCATTTGGTGAGTCCAAAAAACAGGAAATAAACCCTCCGGTGAATGCTAAGGTTGACAAAGGGAACAACTCTTCTCAGCAGGATGCTACTACTTTTCAGCTTCTTGCTCAAAATCTGAGCTGTAATGAAACCAATGAGAGTGATCACTTCCAAGAGGGACTAGCTGAACCCATTCAGGATGAAGTGAGTGGCACAGATATGGTGGACAACCTCCCAGACCTGATCACTCAGTGTATTCAGTTGGACAGGAAACATAACAACAGGCCAGAGCTCTTACAGTCAGAGGCCAGACTCCCAGTGTTGTCTCCCATGATCCACTACCAAACCCTCTCCAGCGCCACATGTCCATCATCCAAGGAAGAGCTTATACAGCTGCGAGGAAGCCAGCCACCTCTCACTCCAGCCAAACGAGCCCGCCAGCAAGAAACTCAGTTGTGCCTCTACTGCAGCCAGGCTGGTCACTTTACAAGAGATTGCCTTGCGAAACGATCTCGAGCTCCAGCAAGGATAAATAACCCAGTTCACCAGTAAGAAGAGCACAGGCAGGTCACTTTGTCAATTTATATCCCTCTGACCTCCAGGCTTACTGATTTATATCCTGCACTAACATTTAAAATACAGATGGATAACTGTGATACCACTTTACACATTCATGAACTTATGTCCTGGAAATTTAAATAACCAGATCTTGTTTATTTGGTGACCCATCACCAAACCTAACCCAACAATGATGAAAACAATTCACAGGTACTTTCTGCAGTTGGTACTAATTCTCAAGACAAGAGTACTGACACCATGCAGGCAAAACTCTGCCCAGCCTTTGCCAATGAAAACAACCCTGGCAGTGCATTAGGAACCTAATCCCCACCAATGGGTGAGATCTGGTTTGTGTCTTCTGTGCCTAAGATTGGGCCCAAGCCTTTTACCCTCACCCTCATTCCCTATTGGTTTGGGACGCTGGACTGAAGTCCTAATTGCATTTTCATATTTCCTACTAAGACTATCCTACTAGAGGTTGGCTCCCTCTCCACCTGTTGACTACAGCCCAGCTTCAACACAAATCAACCTTCATGGAAACACAGCTCTGCCACCCTTCCATACAGCTATGTATTTTGTTGTCATTTAAAGACTTCTGCTTGCCCAATATACTGGATCTCTTGGCTATTGACAAACCGACGGTTATGGCCTTTTTTTGAACACTGCCTGGAACTGTTAGTCCACTTCTTTGAGGACTAGCCCTTCAGACAGGTGTGTGTTTTTGGCCAAGCCCTACTAATTCCAGTTTATTGTCCTTTTGCCAACAACCTACTTCAGGTTTCTGCTTGTCTTACAGCCAAGTTAAAATGACCTAGGATAATGACTTCTGACAAGTATTTACTGAGAGTGGGAGGAAGATATCCCATAGCAATTACTATGTCTGCAGCATGTCCTTGCTAACTTAAACAGATACCTCCATTGAAGCCTGAGGATCAGGCCCTGCAGTAGTTTCTGGCTCTAGAGGCTTCAGTGTGATCACCCTGTAGGATCACTGCCCATTGGTGTCAAACTACTCTCACGGACCACCTCTGGGAACCCTTGTCTGAGGATCTTGAAGAGCAATTAATGGAAGACAACTTTCAGAACCATATCATCTGAAGAATCCTGAAGCATATAATACATCAGCACCATCTGTACATAAAACTCAAGAAGTGGGGGTTGGATTGCTTGTATTGTGCTCTTGGCATACATCAGCTCTGTGTATTGATTCTAATGCTTCTGAAGAAAAGTAGTGCTATGCTGGAAAGGCACAACTTTCTAAAATGTTAAGGATATCCAATGATCATCAGGGTTTCCTGGTAATTACCTCTGTTACCTGCCTCTTTTTTTTTTTTCAGTACAGATATACGTCCCCATAATGGATATCCAGAAAAAAGATTGGTAATTCCATTTTTGCCAGCAGCCATCAAGGCCTCTCAGAATATAAACTGCAATTGTACTTTGGCCTTATTCCTGGAGAATTATGCTAACATTGGTAATACTTAAACCCAGCTAGGAGTTTACTATTCTCATCTTATAGCAGTAGCAGACCAATCTTTTCACCCATCAGTGCCTTGCTAACCACTATACTAATCCTTATTTGTGTTCATAAGGGTCTCTTTTATCAACAACTTGCTATACATCTACTTTACTCCATGTGCTCTCACAACAAGCAGACCTGAATGCATGTATTCCAGTTATTCCAATGAACTCCCGCTGGGGTACTAGGATTATATGAGATCTTCTAACTGGTAGATCTATATGAACATTAAGTGACTCTGGAATTACCTGGAGGTGTCCTAATCTAGCACCACCAATTCTGTAATAAAGGACTAATCCAATGGCCTCCAGTCACTTTCCTTACCAACCCCAGTATGGTCCTGGAATACTAATGGTAGCATTCAGTTGGCTTCATCACCAATCTTTCCTTATCTTAGGGACATAATTTATTATTGTGTGCCCTCTCACAAAGATATGTCATTCTGTTTCCTCTTTGGACCTTCCTGCTGAAGCAAAATTACCTTCTTCTCCAAGAAATCTTCATATTTCATAGCCTCTCAGAATAGACGATCAATCCTGCGCTATTAACTTCAGTTCACTCCCACTTCTAGAAGCCACTTGTTGAGGAATTTCCAATCAAGGACTTCTTGTGCTCTGTGTGATGAAATCCAATAGTGAGACTGAGCATAAGAATAGGATGCTGCCTGGACAGCTGTGGTTCAGCGGTTGAGCATCGACCTAGGATCCAGGAGATTGTGGTTCGATCCCTAGTCAGGGGCATGCACAAGGCAGCCAATCAATGACTCTCTCATCATTGATGCTTCTGTCTCTCTCTCTCCTCTCCCTTCCTCTTTCTGAAATCAATAAATATATATGTTGAAAAAAGAATAGGATGCTGAGACAATGTTTTTATGCCTACTAGCTAGCAACCATTTTATTCACCACTTCAAAAATTTTATACTGACACCATCTACTTCAACTACAATTAATTCATTACTTAGCATAAAGAGAGTTACATGGATGAGCTTTCAGAACATATACCTGAGTGAACTTTTCTGAGAGTTAAACAAATTAAAATCTACAGAAAACAGGTTAGATGTAACCTACTGAAAGATGTATTCTGCAACTGCAAATACTTGGGGAACCCCCAGATAAAATCAATGTTGTAGTATTAGGGAGGCAGATTTGCTATATAATTGATGCCACCCAGCAAGATACAATCTAATCATTTTATAAAGTCTTAAGAAGGAATTGTTAACAAGAAAATGATCTGCATGGACCCCCCCCCCAAAAAAAAAGAGGCAATTAAAGAGCCATAGGACACTGGTAATCTCTCTAGTGTCAGAGAGGGGATGTTGACCAGCAAATGATTTGGCAGGCCAACCTACAGTGTGGTGGAGGCACTAGGCCATCTCAATTTGTGTTGTTAGCCATTAAGATTGCCACCTAACTCTCCTTGCTCTGACTCCATGATCTAGAAAGTAATACTTTCCCATATAAAAATGTTGCTATGGGAGAGAATTTGCTAACCAGCTGACATGAGTGTTCTAGCCTACTAGGCAGTAAATTCTTATTATAAACGAATAAGTTGGTGTTTAGTTTATACATCAGGGTTGTCGTTGTTTTCTTGTAGTTTTAATAGCATCAATCTTCCAGATCCTAATCACCTCTGAGCACACTGTAAAAATAAAAAAGATTTTCACCATGCAAAGTCAGTACCCAGTATGAACCATTGTGAATCCACTGAATATTGGCCTCCCTGAGAACTTTGCCTCAACAGTCAGTCAGTCTCCCTCTTTATTTATCTCATTTGTCTACAACTGTAATAAAACTTCTAAATACCCATGGGTTTCACTTCCTGCACTTTCCTCCACTCACACTCAGCACCATGGTAACTGCCATAAGAAATTGCTTCTTACAAATACTACATAGTTTAATCTAACCATCAGAATATACTGCCATGGGTGAAGACATATAGACATAAGCCCATGAGAAGCACCTTTAGAGAAAGAAGAGTATATATGATTTGCCTAATTCTCACCACCTCCATCCTGTCCAAATGGCAACACATAGGACCCATGCTGTCTGTCACTGCCCTCACCACTATCCATGATGGCAAAGCAAATATCACCCTTTTCTAGACTCTGGAAGATCTTCTACACCCAGCACCATCTTTTCTATGACCACAACAGTCATCTCTGAAACAAAATAGAGAATTTAAAATGTATCAGTATCTTGGCCAAATCTAACATACCCTTGGGAAAGCTCTGGGTGCTTGTGCCACATCTGTAAATCCATCTACATTGGTGACCATATTTCATTGCTCCTTATGAAGCTTCAGGCATCACTTTGCCAAGAGACTGGCAAAACCTTCAAAGGAATATAGTGTCATGAATCTTCAGTGTTACCTTCATGCAAGGTTTACTGCCCACATTTTACAAACCAAAACTTCCTGAAGGAGTTATACTACTTAGTAGAGTCAGTAGAGCTATCCTGGTACTCAGACCACATTTTCCCATCATTGATAATGACTATAGCTTTGAGCATTTATGTACTAAATTATTGATATTACTTCTTCATATAGGCTTTGATTCTTGGGTCTATTTGAACCTCTTTTTTGATCAGTGATTTCCAGCGCACATGTAACATGTCACTGGCTCTTTTATCTGTTCAGTTCAGCGATAAGCCAGTTGTGACTGTATTTCACCAACACCATTTACTTCATAGTAGGCCTTCATAGTGGAGGACCATGTAGAATTTCAGTTTTCCTATGCATAGAAGACTCATCTCTTTGGGCATATAATCTGGCTTTGTGTGCATCTGGAGAAAGGGAGCTTATAGTTGGTGGATGACTACTTTATGTCAGGCACTGTGATTAGTGCTTTAATTTGTTAATGATAGTCATGTAACTTCACATTATGATATCCATTTCTAGCTCTTAATGCTCAGGTGGTGTTATAAATTCAACTTAAAGATGATGAAATAAAGATTCAGAGCAGTTAACTTACCAGCCCTAAAGTTATGCAGCTAATAAGTGGCAGGACTAGGATTTGAAACCAGGATCTTTCTAATGCCAGAGCCATTTGATCTCTGATAGAGGAAGAAAATACTTTAATTCACACTGCTCCTGACCAGCCAAACTGACACAATTACACCTCCTATAGCCACTCAATACAGAGAGGCCACTCTAGTAACTGGTATTCACATATCCACTTGTTTAAACACTTGTTCTGTACAGCGGTCTATAAAGGAAGCACATAACAAATCAGTGCCTTCCAGTACTTGGAAATTTTATTTGTGTTTGTAATGAATTGGAGAAAATTCCTTGACACGTCAAAAAAGACAGTGTCTACATTATCTTATTGGGCAGGCTCTTGCTTGTTGAGTCAGGATTCTAACAAAGCTTTTTGGCTATCACAAAGACTTCATATTTCTGTAGCTCTTCATTTAAAGTTATTGAGTCTTGCCCAGCTGGCATGGCTCAGCAGTTGAGCATTGACCTATGATCCAGGCGA